CTGGACAAAACTTGGGTAAAAAGTGACTTGGGAGAAAAGTCATCTAATAGAGTTGGAGTAGGATTCCACTTGTAGAAGGAGAATCCTACACGTTTTTGGAGCACAATTTCGGCCAAAAATAACTCTATTAAAGCAAGATTAATTTCACCCAATAACTCACCTTTTAGAGTTGTATTGTTCTAGCCCACCCAAATGCAAAATCATCCGAGGTTTTACTAGGCAAATAACAGAAGACTGCAGCCCTGTATTCTTGCTATTTGGAAGATTTGTGCAACTATTTCAAGAGGTTAGTGCTTCTAATCTTGTTATTATTGCGTTGTCTAGTTTACATGTATTTGATGCCTGAATTGTATGCTTGCTTCCGTTGCGCATGTTCTAATAGCAGCAACTTCATAACTTAGAGACTCACTATTCACCAACAAACAAAAGTGAGTTAAATCATACAAATCTTTTCTTACCACTTTCATTGTTCCATACAAGTCATGGAAGCTTCTAGTCTTCCGAGGCACTTTACTTGAGCTCGAACTTGATTCCCCCACTTCTTGAACTTGTGATGGAGATATTGGAGGTGGTGTAATAGGCTGCTCCATAGCTTCTTCATCATCTTCACTGTCAAAGAATAGACTAAAAAAGTAATCTTGCTCTTTTGATTTCCATTCCCGAGCACTATATTCATCAAATTCAACATCTCTATTTATGTTGACTTTGTCATTTTTTGAGTTATATAATTTATAATCTTTAGAATTTTGATCATTGCCAATGAAAACATACCTCTCGCTTTTGTCATCAAGCTTAGACCTCTTTATAAGAACTCTCAAGGTTGAAGATTTCGAGATTAAATATAGATCAAGGATACAGAAATGAAAAGGAGAATTTCAAAATTAAGGGGGGTCGGTAAAAAGTAATTTTAAAATTCTGAAAAATAATTATTAAGCACATTTTAGTCTACCAAGATGGTCAAGTTCATTGCAAATTTTTAGATATTCTAGGTGCATGATCTTTGTACTTTCTAGGTGATAAATCTAATCTAAATATGATTCTAAAAGGTGAAATCATAATTTTTCTCCAAATGTTGCATAGAATGTGTTGGACTAAATATCTTGAACCTATAATGAAGGTTTTGTCTTTCTAGTGATTGAATTGCAGAAAACAGAGCAGTTGCTGGTTGTTTGACTTCGCTTATGAATGCGTGTCTCAAACTTCCACTGTAGGCATGTTTTTGGGATCATGCTCCCCAACTGTTACTATAAAATCAGGAATAAAACAACTCATTGTGAGAATTCTCCCCCATTAGACAATATATAACACACTGTGCAGAAAACTTTAGGTGAAGAATTGGTAGGGGCCGCGCGAACGCAGGCCTCCGCTGTAACAAATTATGACGTAGGCTCGACCACTTGGATCGACCATAAGCGGGCACCTCTCCAAAGTGCAATAAAAGTCACCAACCTAGGCCATGGGTCTTATTGATCACCCATTGACCCCGGCCAGGTAAGTATGTTTCCTTGAAGATCCTCCATATGGTTTTATATCCCTCCAACTCCTGGATTTCCTTTGTATCAGCCGATATGGGACATCTAGTGCTTAATCTATCCTCCTTATATTCTCTCCGAAACAACTGAATATTGTTTATTTCTGGTATAATTAAGATGCTTATCCATATACTAATAATTTTATGTACAAACATACAAACCCCATGCTTTCCTTTCTTCCCTTCAATTTAATATAACTCAACAAGATATGAACCGGGCAGAATTAAATTAGATGGAGATTAATCTGGTTTTGTTTATAGGTACAAGTTAACTTTAATAGAAAACTTTTTGTAAGATTATACTAATATAATTCCTAATATTGCACATGAAAAGGCTATTTTAACTCTGGTTGCTTCTGTATACTTTCCTAGTGTTAAACAAATACAAGAAAAAGATTAAAACTCCAGCCATCTTAAAAATTAACTATCTTTTCTCTTTTCAGTTCCCCTTATAGGTAGCATTTTTCGTAAAATGTCATACTCTCAGCTGGTAAAATTTTCTCCCTAGTTATAATATGAACAAATCAAGTGATCCATCTTCAATGACAAAGTCAAATGACTATTACTGTGCTGCATTAAAGGTGTTTATACCCATCCTAGGATTAGAAAGAAAAAAAAACATATGATTACTGCAATAGTCACTAAAACTCAAAAACTCTTAACAAAGAACAGAGTACGATATAATCACTATCCGACAGATTAGGGAATATCACGTGCACTTGTATCCCTATAAAACGTTAAAACTAGCTTAACCCAGGTAGAACCTTTTCGCCTAGGGGGATTCAGCTCATAGTTCCGGATAGAAATACTCCCAGTAGAACCTTTTCGCCTAGGAGGATCCAACTCATAGTTCCGGGTAGAAGTACTCTTCGCTCAGGTTGTTTTTACGCAGCTTAACCCAGGTAGAACCTTTTCGCCTAGGGGGATCCAGCTCATAGTTCTAGGTAGAAGTACTCTCGCTCATGTTGTTTTTATGCAGCTTAAACCAGGTAGAATCTTTTTGCCTAGGGGGATCCAGCTCATAGTTCCGGGTAGAAGTACTCTTCGATCAAGTTGTTTTTACGCAACTTAACTCAGGTAGAACCTTTTCGCCTAGGCGGATCCAGCTCATAGTTCCGGATAGAAGTACTCTTCACTCAGGTTGTTTTTATGCAGCTTAACCCAGGTAGAACCTTTTCGCCTAGGGGGATCCAGCTTATAGTTCCAGGTAGAAGTACTCTTCGCTCAGGTTGTTTTTACGCAGCTTAACCCAGGCAGAACCTTTTTGCCTAGGGGGATCCAACTCCTATTTTCGGGTAGAAGTACTTTTCGTCCAGACTTAGTTTTCATAACTTAACCCAGGTTGAACCTTTTCGCCCTAGGGGATCCAGCTCCTATTTCCGGGTACAAGTACTCTTCGCTCAGGCTTAGTTTTCATAGCTTAACCCAGGCAGAACCTTTTCGCCTAGGGGGATCCAGCTCCTATTTCTGGGTAGAAGTACTTTTCGCCCATGCTTAGTTTTCACAGCTTAACCTAGGTAGAACCTTTTCGCTTAAGGGGATCCAGCTTATATTTTCGGGTAGAAATACTTTTGCCCAGCCTTAGTTTTCATAGCTTAACCCAGGTAGAACCTTTTCGCCTAGGGGGATCCAGCTCCTATTTCTGGGTAGAAGTACTTTTCGCCGATGCTTAGTTTTCACAGCTTAACCTAGATAGAACTTTTTCGCCTAAGGGATCTAGATCATATTTTCAGGTAGAAATATTTTTCGCCCAGGCTTTGTTTTTACGCAACTTAACCCAGGTAGAACCTTTTCGCCTAAGGGATCCAGCTCTTATTTCCACATAGAAGTACTCTTCGCCCAGTATTCGTTTTTGTAGCTTAACCCGGGTAGAACCTTTTCGCCTAAGGGGATCTTGCTCCTATTTTTAGGTAGAAGTACTCTTCGCTCAGGCTTGCTTTTCGTAGTTTATCGCAGGTAGAACTTTTTCACTAAGAGGGATTCAACATTTTTTCCGTAATACAGGGTGCCAACCCCTGGTTACATTCCTTTTCCGTCATATAGTTTACCAACCCCTAATTACATTTCCTTACCAGTATAGGGTACTCCAATTCCTAGCTGTATTTTCCAACATAGGGTCTCCATTCCCTAGTTGATTTTATTTCAGACATAGTGCCACTACTCCCTAGTCTCCTTACCAGTATAGGGTACACCAATCCCTAACTATTTTTTTTCCAACATAGGGTCTCCATTCCCTAGTTGATTTTATTTCAGACATAGTGCCACTACTCCCTAGTCTCCTTACCAGTATAGGGTACACCAATCCCTAACTATTTTTTTTCCAACATAGGGTTCCCCACTCCTTAGTTGAGTCGAGTTTAAATGCAGGGTATACCACTCCCTGGTATCTTTGTTAATACGGGGTACACCATTCTTTAGCCATGTTTTTCCAACATAAGATACACCAATCCTTAGTTGAGACACCATTTAGACAATCGGGATACACCATTCCCGAAGAATCATGTTTTTCTATGGTACACCAATCCCGACACTTTATTGCGTTTAATAAAGTAGTTTATAATTTTATTACAATAACTCACGAAATTTTCCTAGATAAAACTGGGGCAGAAATTTTTTATTCGTTTGTTTGTTTTGGTGCCTGAGCAGGTCTTACCTCAAGGTACAGGGTTCGAGATGACCAAAAGAAGTATCAAAATGGAGAAGCAGATGAAATAATGTGGATTGTTCAAGACATGACTGAAGTCACGAGCATTGCATTTTTTCGTTTTGATCAGAAGAAGTCGTAGAAGAATAAATTAGCACCTATAGCTAGCAAGCATCAAGGTTCAGATCAGAGTTTGCGTGGAGAACCAGTTAAGACTCAAGGACACGTTTTAGAAGACTCATAGATAGGAATCTTGTAACTCATAGCTGATAGGCTTGTTTAGTTTTTTTTTTGATGTAATAACAGACTTACGGACCGGAGCCTTGACGGAGCCTCACTCGACTTCTCAACTCATCATTTCACAATTCTCTTTGAATGACACGCGACCTGATTCCCCTATAACCCGTGATATGTAGTCTGTCCAAAACCAAGACTCGATTTCACCATTTCTCTTTTATCTTATCCTTATTTCTTCCATTTTAAATAAAGATATGTTCAAAAATTAGTCACATGACTCACCTTATCTTTGCCTGAAAACTCTTCATGTTTACAAACAAAGAGGGGCATGCTGTGAGTACCTAATTTTTGACCACGCTTATCATTTTTCCACTCATCTTGCCAACTCCCTCACGTCACACAGTCATAACCTATTTTTCCCATCATCCTCACATCACACACTCAATTCCCCCATGCTTTGTCCCCACTCCACTTTCCCTTGTCCCCCGTACTTATCCCCACACATGTTCCCCACTCTCCCCTCCTCGTTCTCTCTCCTTAAAAAATACACACACAAACGGAAAAGAAAAAGGACAAGAGGAGGAGAGGGCAGAACCTCATTAGAGCCGAAAAGCTTCGTCAAAAGCCACCTTTAAACCAGCCCCTATTTTCTGGCCATAAAACACCATGAAAGCGGGTCAAAATCAGCAGTGAAATGCCATCCAAAACACCCCCAAAAACGTCTTCAAATCAGCCACCAAAACATCACTAAAATGAACCCAAATCTCAGTCAAAACAACCTCTAAAACTCAGCTGAAAATCAGCACCAAATAGTCCCGAAACTCGGACTAAAACGCAGCAGCTATTGCCTATTTTTTCCCTCCCAAAACAGCCCAGAAATTACCCCTGAAAAGCCATGAAAATCGTCCTTAAACAGCTCCAAAAAATTAGCTGGTAAACATCGCAAAAACCATATCGGACAAGGTCCGTTTGAGCTTCTGTCGAGTTCCCGTCGTCGACGTCGAGAGTTCCAATTTTGGTTTGTATATGTGCCGTCATTGTTTAACTTGAAGGAGCTATTGCTTTGAGGTTCAATTTCTCACCCATTTCTCGTTAAGTTATAATGCTTCATATTCATGTGTTTCTTTCAAATTATTTTGGGATTGTTCTGCCATGCCTCTTAATCTTGAGTTGGTAACCATACTTGAATGTTTTAATAATTTAGTTTTGTGCTCAAATAAACCTAGGACTATCAGCTCTTTATTTTAGTGATATAACATGAGTTGAATAATTATCAAGGCAAGTGAATATTGTTTGTTGGTTGTTAATATGAGATTGGCGTTTGTGATAATTGTAGAACTGCGCGAGATTGGTTTTATTTGCTTTTAATTGAAATGGGCCGTAGGTAATAAAGGATGTGTTAGGTCTGATTTTTGAATACAAAGCTCACCCATTTTCCTCAGTTATTCCATAACTCCGGACATTCACATGAATAAACCGTGTTTAGCCATGTGTTCATACTCGTTCCTTGGTTTAAACACACGTGATAAAAAGACTTTGTGTGCTTACACGCTCCTAGGCCGAATTCATTAAAATTCGATTACTTATTAAGCGGTGATAGACAATAGTAATCTAAGACAAATAAATCACCGTTTATCCAAAATTAATTTAAGCCAAATGTGGTCAATAAAGCGACCGTGCTAGAACCAAAGGACTCGGGAATGCCTTACACCTTCTCCCCGGTCAACAGAATTCCTTACCTGATCTTTGTTTTTGCAGAACTATAAAAAATAGAATCAAACCTTCTTTTGACTAGGGATTCAAATAAAAAGTGACTTGGAACACCTAAAAATCAATTCCAAGTGGCGACTCTGTAAATAAAATAATTCCTACTCAAGTTTGTCACTTTAATTGGAAAAACTCTTTAACCCACAATCCATAACACACATTATCTTTTGGAGGGATAAAAAAGGGATGTGGCAAGCAGCTGGTAATTATTTAGTCAAGATGCGCACAAGCAAAGCTTGTTTGGACAAAATGGTTGTAGATCATTGCATCTCTTTTACCATCTTAGGTTGGCTTTACAAGTGAATTGAGTAGTGTTAAAGGAACTTGTATAACTGGAGCTATGACCTTGAAATCCAAGTAAAATGAAAGATGCTCCAGAAGAATAATATTCTTCTATTTATGAGTAAAATGGCTCTATAAATTAATCGATAATGTGAATTCAATTGTTGATTTCAGTATGTCCATTGTCGAAATTGTTATAGCTAATGTTTTCCTTAGAAAGTATTTTCAAACAACCAACATACTACTTATTTTCTCAAAAGTATTTTTGTAAAGATATTTTTCTCATACCAAATACACAAAGGAAAGATGATACACAATTTTCTTTGTTACTAGTTTTCTTTTGTACATACGTTTACACTTTACATTTAGTAAATTGTTAATGTGCAAACATCTATATTTAGTAATGTTATACTTTCTTCTAAAAAGGAAGTACTATTTTTGGACGGTAACAATAAAATAGACACTGTGTCATATTTTTTCAAGTTTTTTTTTTTTGAAACAACGATCATCTTAATTATTCAAATCAAAATTTAAAGCATCTACAATAAAGGATGGAGGGCTAGCATTCCACTCCATCGAGCCTGACATAGAATCAGCCACTCGTGCTAATGCATGAGCAACCTGATTCGCAGACCTTCGAACAACAGACAGAAACTGAAAACTTTTTAAGAGGTTTTTACAATCAGAAATCACGTCAGATAAATACGAGTATGGAACGACAAATAAATAAACTTTCTAAGGACCCGTTTGGTTATAGATTTTGCCAAAATAAACTTGGGTTTTATTAGGCAAACACATGTTTGACCATAGATTTTGCCAAAATAAACTTGGGTTTTATTTGGCAAACACATGTTTGGCCATATATCCAGCTCAATAGCTGGTTTTTGGCCAAAATATTCACAACCACTAATAATATACATGTTTTTCCAAAATAAATTTGGGAAATATGTGTTGAAAACGTATGTCCAAACACATTTTCATCTTCAAACAAAATTTCACCCAACTCAAATTTTTCAAAACAAATTTGGGAATCTATGGCCAAACGCTAGCTAAGAAAGAATAAACAATAAAACAAACAATTGTGACATTAAACTTTGGTCATTTTCATTCAGCAAAATAAAGCATGTCCGTAGTAATGATACACCACAGTTTTTGCAAAAAAATGTTTGGACTAATCTTGAATATTCAGTGAACAAAATTCATAATAAGATCAGCTTAAGCTTAACTGTTCAAAAAGGTTTGATTAGTTACATGCTGAGAAGCTGCTCGACAAAAAAGTCGCATATAAAATTAGCTTGCTGAACGCAGGACCTTTTACGAACATGCAGAAAATTCTTGTACAAGAATTGGATAGGGGCCTAATCAACTGCACCTAAGATCAGTAGGTGCTGCATTCAACTGCACCTAACTCACAACAATGTTTCTCTTCCAATCATGCAGATCTTTGTTCTATTTGGCATCAATGACTTGGTCATGCACCAATAGCAGTATTGCAAAAAAATTCTTCTTTGAAGGGTCATTTGTCTCATAAAAGATCTCTGTCTTGTACTATATATATATGTCCTTTATCAAGTCAGACTAGATCCCCTTTCCCCATTAGTACTGAGAAAACTGTATCCCCTTTTGAACTTGTACATATGAATATTTGGGATCCATATGGAAAAAGTACTTACAATGGTCATAGATTCTTTCTCACATTGTGGATGATTACTCTAGGATGACCTGGATTTATCTGATATGAATGAAAAGTGATGTGGTTGTTTTGATCATGGCCTTTCTTACTTTGTTAAAACTCAATTTTCAGCTTCTATTAAAGTCATCCGTTCAAATAATTGGTCTGGAGTTTTTCAATTCTCAATGTTCCAGTCTGTTCACATCTCTTGGTATAATTCATCAAAGTTCTTGTGTCTATACTCCGCAACAAGATGGTGTGGCGGAACGCAAGCATAGGCATTTACTTGAAATGGCAAGAGCTCTACGATTTTAAGCTCATGCTCCTTTAAAATTCTGGGTGACTGCATTTCGACTGTAGCTTTCTTAATTAACAGACTGCCCTCCTTAGTCCTTTCAGGAAAGTCCCCTTATGAATTATTTCATGGTGTTTCACCCTCCTTTGCTCACCTTAAGGTTTTTTGTTGCCTGTGCTATGCCATTAAACCAAAATTTTCAGATAAATTCTCCTCTAAAGTGATCCCTGCTATTTTCATGGGCTACTCAGACACAAAGAAAGGCTATAAGTTGTATAGTATTTCCACAAGTAACTTTTTTGTTAGTAGGGATATCTCTTTTCATGAGTCCAGTTTCCCCTTCAAATTCCCTAAATCCACCTTCCTGGAGCCTTAGAATCCATCCTGAGGAACTCCCCTTTCTCCAAGTTTAGCTTCTTCAAATGATACTTTCCCTGCTTGCCCTGTTTCTCCTTATTCTGGTCCAAACAGTCCTGGCTCTCCTTCATCAGAATACTCTCCTAGGGATTTTCCCTCTTCTCCTGTAGCTTCCTTTCCTTCTTCCCCTTCTCTTTCTCCTGTCTCTGATGTTCCTATTAGGAGGTCATCTAGGGAGTCAAAACCCCCTATCTGGCTTACTGATTATGTGCATTGCTCCACTACACCAAATCCTATATCTGCATCCTTATCCTATTCCTCCATTTCTCCTTCTTATAAAGCCTATCTGTCAGCCTTTTCTTATAAATGTCCTTGGCCTCTTACAACTTTCCAAGTCTGATGGTCAGGTAGCAATGTCACACTGATTTAAGAGGCCAAGGACATTTTGAATCACAACTTCAAAATGAAGGATTTGGGAGAACTGAGATTTTTCCTTGGATTTGAGTTTGCCAGATTTGATAAAGGTATAATTCTAGTAAACGTAGCAATAGGTACAACTATTGCAACGGTTTGTTGGCTAACGCAACAGTTTTGTTATAAACGTGTTCCAATAGGACCTTTACCCTTATGCCACGTTTGTAACTGTTGCAATATAGGTGCTATAGCAACGGTTACATAACCGTTGCAAAAATATTGTTCTCATAGGCCTGATTTCTAGTAGTGATACTCATGAACCAAAAGAAATATGCATGGAACTAATTTCAGAATGTGGTCTTGAGGGAGCTAAACGAGTCACAACACATTTGGAGCAAAATCAAAAGCTAACAAGTCAAGAGTATGATCAACAATTTGATATCTCTAGGGACAAGGAATTAGAAGACATAGGGGTATATCAGAGATGTTGATATCCAATTTTTCCCTATATATTTANTATATATATATATATATATATATATATATATATATATATATGCATATATGAGCATGCCCAAGGTTTTTATTATTTTTCCATAATTTTAAGGGGTTAAATTGATTCATTTTCTCCCCTTTTATTCATAAAATCCCCAATAATTATTTCCTAAATTATGGTTATGATGATTTATTTATTTAATTTCTATACTTATACCAAAATATGGCTAATATATTTTTCATGCATTTTTATAATTACATTTAGTATTTTTTAAGCTAAATTGCATATAATTGTAATGTTAGCACATTTTAAGGTATAATTATATTTTAAATGCATAAAATTGGTCCCTATATTTTTAAAATGATAATTATGTATTTTAAATCATTTTGGCACCTTAAGTTATTTTTCAGAAATTACCTATTATTTATTATAAATTAAAATAGGGAAGATTGGCTATTTAAATCATAGCCAGATTTGGTTTTCAATTTTAGCCTAATTCGGACCCCTCCCCAGCCCAATCTCCTATTAAATAACCCGACCCAGGCCCCAAACACTTCCTACCCGACCCAAATCCATCAGATCTTGGCCGTTGATCTAAAAGATCAACGACCCTCCTTTGTTCTTTCCTTTTTAATTTTAAAAGACCTCCTAACCCTAATCACTTTTCTAAATCCGTCGCCTTCAAATCCTCTCATCTTCTCTCTTCTCTCAACCTAACCCTAGACTCTGTCAATTGCCTTCCTTCTCCGGTCATCTCCGGCGACTACCTTTCAACCCCAAGCCCCCAATGGTTTCCCCCTCGCCTTGCTCATCATCTCTAAGGCCTTCAATGGTCTTGGGCCATGTCGATTTGGATCTAGGGTTTCTGTTTCTGTTACTCATGGCTTCTCCGGTGTGATTTTGGGCAAAATCACACCTTATATGTTACGATCGGTGAAATTTACAACAGGTTCTTTCGTTTCTATCTGGGTTCCCTTTGAAACCCTAAATCTCGTTTGAATCTCTTAGATATGTGTTATTTTTAACGCTTTAAGTCTATTTCTTCCTATGATTTGCACTATTCTGAACTTCTTCTGAAAGATCCTCAACTTTAAACCGTTTTTACTTTCTTTACAAAATTAGGGTTTTCTCGGAGTTCTTTCTACACTTGTTTTAACCAATTTTCTTTATGATTAAACCTCTTTCCTTGCTTATTTTGACCAATCTTATGTTCTTACTGCTTTTAATTCACCTATGTCAAAAGCCCTAATTTCTAAGATTTTCTTTACTTTGGTTGTGTGTGTTAGCCTGTTTACTTGATTCTTGTTAATCTTCCGTGGTTACCATGCTTCGAATGTGTTTTACTGAATCCTTAGCCTACTTATGTCACTTCTGTATGACTATGCTCATTTTGTTTATTCATCTCTTGCTTCTTTCTGTCACTATGGCTAACCTTGCCTGTTTGCTACGTCTGTTTGATCTTCTCTATTTATATGTTGAAAATACAGAATCATGACTCCCTCTTGATTGATTCTGATTTCTTTAATTGATGGTTTGATTGAAAGATTTTTTTTTAAAAGCTGTAAAAGCTTTACCCTGTCTGTCTAAACTGACTGATTTCGTTACCATATTTGCTATGATACTTTATTTCTACTGAGTTGTGTCCTTAATTAAGGTTTTATGAATTTAGTCCTAATTGACTACTCTATACTTACTGAACCTTGACTTCTTCCTTATTTAGTCATGCACTGATTTTTCTTCTTGCCTTATATGATACTGAATCTTCCCGTTTGATTTGATTTCCTTAACTTAAGGGAGTACTTCCTTGATTCTCTAATTGATTGATTATGAGTTCTTCAATTATTATGCTACTATGATTCTTACCTTATTTCACTACCTATTTTTCAACTATAAATGCTCTAAGTCTTTCATTAACACAGACGAACATTTTTGTTTTCAAAAACTACCTCTCTTACTAAAAATTTCTGCTCTCCCCTCTCTATTGTGCTATTTGCTGCTATTAGCCGGCTGCAAGCCAAGGCTAATCATCTGTGCTCTCTTGTTCTTTCATTCTGCTTACTTCTCTCTTTACTAGTATGTCCTAGTTTAAATTTAAAGCCTCAACAACAACATGCTTCTCTTATTGTTTCAGTTTCTCTTATTTCTAGTCTGCTTCTACTTGTGGTTCTATTGTGAAACTTGTAATTAAGTTACATTATCAGCATGTTATTATGTTCCCTTTCCCTTTAGATTAATGTATTCCCTTATATGTGTTTATGCCTTGTCAGTTGTCTTTTACTTACTGTGTACTTACCATCCTATGAATCCCAAATCCTATTACCCATTTCTATGTGTTCTTCTTGACTGGTTTATGATTATGCTAGTATCAACTATTTCTGAGCATGTCCAAATCAGTCCTAAGACCCTTGCTGGGTTATTTGTTTGCAGTCAGATGTCTGTGTATCCTAAACACCTTGACCCCTGTGTGACTACTGAATTCATTTAGATTCTGTAAACTAGCTGTGTGTGATCCTTTCCTAAAGTGCTTGAACTTTGTTTGCTACTCCAACCCTTTTTCAAACCATCTCTGTTGCTCTATTAATTGCTTTCAAAACAGACTTTCAAATCCAGTCTTTAATAAACCTCTTTCAACTTGTGTCATGCACTTTCACTTCACTCTTAGTCAATAAGTTCTGCCCCCTCTAGTATGTGTACTGCCTTGGGATCCTCTTGAGAGCCCTCTGAACTCTGACATACTGAGGCTGGCCTTTCCACACTGCACTGGTTCAACTCTTGGTTGTTAAGTCTAGGTGTAAGCATTGCTCGGGGTCCTTGAGACCCTTAGGGAACTTTGATGCACCTAGACTCTGATTTATCTATGGGAATGAGGCTTGTGAGACCATTGAAGACTTTGGGAAACTTGGTCCTAATTGTAGGCTCCCTATAGAATAGCTTCTTGATTTCCATTTCTACTTATGTAATTCATTCATTTTCCTGTAATAATTTGTAAATAGATATTTGGGGTATTTAGTAAAAGGGTGGGTAGATGTATGCTTTAAAGAGTAATACGGGTAGAAATCCTGCACTTAGGACCTTATTTTTGAAATCTGCCTGCTTTATTCAATAGAAAACATGCTCATAGAGTTTTCCTCTTTTAAATCTGATTTCTTTTTCTCATAGAAATCATGCATAAAGGATCTCACTTCCAATTTCATTTGGTAGAAATCATGTTCATAAGGTTCTGCATTTTGTCATGTTAGAGATCATGCTTATAGGTCCCAAACAATAGTGTTTAAATCAGTTCAAATATAGATGCCATACCTATAGGACTCAACTCCGATTCAGTTTTAATAAGTCTTTCTGTATGTTGCTGCAAATTATCTTAAATCAGTAATACGCCTAGATATCATGCCTACAGGGATCCCTACTCGCAATTCTATTTGGTAATTTAATTAGCCTAATGAATCAACTTCATTACACCTAGTTCATTTTTTAAAACTGGTCTTATTATGTGCGAAATATTTCCTGAAACAAGTTCTTTCAAAATTGCTTC